TAGCCACGGGCGGGCAGGCAGGCAGTTATTTCATGCAGCCTGACAGAAGAGTTACTAGCCACGGGCGGGCGGGCAGGCAGTTATTTCATGCAGCCTGACAGAAGAGTTACTAGCCACGGGCGGGCAGGCAGGCAGTTATTTCATGCAGCCTGACAGAAGAGTTACTAGCCACGGGCGGGCGGGCAGGCAGTTATTTCATGCAGCCTGACAGAAGAGTTACTAGCCACGGGCGGGCAGGCAGGCAGTTATTTCATGCAGCCTGACAGAAGAGTTACTAGCCACGGGCAGGCAGGCAGGCAGTTATTTCATGCAGCCTGACAGAAGAGTTACTAGCCACGGGCGGGCAGGCAGTTATTTCATGCAGCCTGACAGAAGAGTTACTAGCCACGGGCGGGCAGGCAGGCAGGCAGTTATTTCATGCAGCCTGACAGAAGAGTTACTAGCCACGGGCGGGCAGGCAGGCAGTTATTTCATGCAGCCTGACAGAAGAGTTACTAGCCACCGGCGGGCAGGCAGGCAGTTATTTCATGCAGCCTGACAGAAGAGTTACTAGCCACGGGCGGGCAGGCAGGCAGTTATTTCATGCAGCCTGACAGAAGAGTTACTAGCCACGGGCGGGCAGGCAGGCAGTTATTTCAGACACGGGTACACATACAGAAAAATTTGTTTCTTTGAACTGATTGTTCTTTCTTGAACAGTTGACATGACATTGTTTCTGCCAGCTGTAACAGTATTGTATGTGCAGTGGCAAAGACGTGACAGCTGGTTGTTATGTAAACACGTCCAAACATAGCTGCTGGACACGGGTGAGGAGCATCTTGAAATATCTCCCGTAACTAGGTCAGGACAACTCCGTTAACGAGGTATCAGCCGATCAGTTCACATGATTGGATCAATACAAAATCAATGCCGCTACTCTACTGATTAACCCCTTGTGTTGCATGCTGCCGACCAGCAAACATCTCCGAGACCTGATGCAGATATTGTGTGTACATCATCTGCATCTCATGGCCGGATGGGTTACATCCAGAACCATTTGATGCGTTGTCTTTTCTCTTGTATGATTAATTTGTTCAGATATTTGATCAATGATATATGTAATATGATATATATTGATTATACCACACTTTATAGTTGGTTTATTCAGAGTATAAATTGTTTTGTGTAATTTATATCACTGTCAGATTGTTGGAGAATTTTGATGAATTGTAAGTTGTAATGTGATCTATATTGTATGCAAAACTTGCATGATATGATTCCTTTAAACGATAAGTGAGTTTGTTGAGAATAGCAGTATGCAACATCAGATGTACTAGAGTCTATAACGTTTCATATGGTCTAGTACTCACCCCCTATGAGGGTTTTTAACTTAACTTACAAAAGTTAGGTCAGGGGGACCCCCAATAAATAATTTTTACGGTTTTTGCAGACAGTATGGACATGTTAAGTTATTAAGGGTGTAGTGTACTGTATGTGTACATAATTACTTTAGAGCCTGGAATGAATCAGTGATCGTGGACAGTGGTCATGATTGATGGATGAAATTTAAGACACCCATAGGCACAACTGCTCCTTATGTGCTGTAGGTACAATCAACATTATTGTGCTTCCCTTGGGATGCAGTATTATTTTTTTTCTGTGTCCTTTCTCTAGATTTGTGCGTACTGGACACACATTTGTGCATCACGTAAAACCCCGCCCTATGATTGTATACAGCAGCCTATAACGCAAAAAACATCCTATAACATCACTATAACATTGAGCCTCCGTCCATTCCTTTTGTTTTGTTTGTTTGTTTGTTTGTTTGTTTGTTGTTTAACGCTGCACTCAGCAATATTCCAGCTGTATGACGGCGGTCTGTAAATAATCGAGTCTGGACCACACAATCCAGTGATTGATATCATATGCATCGATCTACGCAATTGGGATACAATGACATGCATCAACCAAGTCAGGGAGCCTGACCACCCGATCCCATTAGTCGCCTCTTATGACAAGCACAGTCGCCTTTTATGGCATTAGCATGGGTTGCTTAAGACCTATTCTACTCCGGATCTTCACGGGTCCCATTCATTCCAAATGAAGTGGGTTATATATTTGGGGTGTCATGATTCTCTGGCCCTGATGATGTAATACACAATACACCTATACATGTATCCATTCACATTTTAATTCTGTATACACTTGTAAGATTTATGAATTATTGCAATATCTTTTCCTGATGACAACCTGGACTAGCTTTACCTTCCTGCCAATTATGAAACATAGTGGTAAATTTGCTTGCACAAAGCTATTAGAACAACTCGAGTTGTGTTGTGTGTTATAATTAAGCAGTCATGCAACATAAACACAAACTGGTTGACGGCCATAAAGCTTGTCATCTTGAGTGCATAGAACATGGATAGTTTCACCCATAAATAACACAAGTTAAGTATAGCAACATGTATCGTGAAGTGGGCATATTATTTTTGATCAGCTGTTTCCCTGATAAGTATTACAAGGAAGGATGTTAACTTTGTTGTTCAATTCACCACTTCATGGAAATATAACTAGAGAGAGAAATGGGAGGAAATGTTATCAACATGTCACGGACATTTTTTAGTTATTATAATGACTCACTTTTCTGCATGTTCCCGAGAAAACACTTTTTCATGTCAATGAATTGAAATGAAACCCATACAAGAAAAGGGGAAATATTGTTTTGAAATAATATTACAAGATGCGAATAAGTCAGTATACAATTCAGAAAGATTTGTGAAGATCCGGGTTATATCTTGAGCAACACATGCTTGTCGTAAGAGGCGACTGACTGGATCTGTAGGTCAGACTCGCTGATTCAGTTGAAGCATGTCATCGATCCCAATTGCGAGGAATGATGCTCAGGATGTCAATCACTGGATTGTCAGGTCCACACTCGATTATTTACAGACTGCCATCATATAGCTGGAATATTGTTGAGTGCGGTGTTAAACAACAAACAAACAAACAACAGTTTCAGAAAACCTATTTCATATCCCTGAATACAAGTATGATTTAGAGATGCTTCATTGTATTAATATGACACATGATAAGTGATACAAAGGCATTTCAGGTCATAGTTCCCTCCAGAGCTTGACTAACATTTTGTCCAAGAAATAGAGGTTATCTCATTTAAAAAATATATGTGTACAAAATAAAAGCAGTCTTGCTTGACAACGGTATAAGGATCTATACCGAAACGTCGCCTTTACAGTAAATAAAGAAGTTGTCATCCATAATTTGTGTCTACTTTATCATCCTTCAACTTCTAAGTAATGCCTGTCAAGCAATTTTACTTTTCCGTAGTTTCTGATAACACATAATACATGAACAAACATTTAAGACTGTACTGTGAGTGAACTTTATTCTGAAACCTGGGTTACACGGCCCCGAGAATCTTTCTCTTAAATACAGAGGTAGTTTGACAAATTTCATAATTCAGTGTACAAAATAAGATAATGCACTCAATAGTGAGATACAACTAATCTCTGCAAAGCCATAGTTATGACTAATAACATTAATTGGAAATGTTTGCTGATAGTTTCAGCAGAAATACGTCCCAATGTGTAGATAAATCACCAAATTAGACCACTTCAGGATTACATGATGGGAATTTTTCTCAAAGCGTTAATCCCTACAGTATGAATAGAAGACAAATAATATTAATAATATTGTTAATATATTCAGGTTTCCTCGTTCTCGTGATTTGACAGATTTCAGGATCTGATACAGGACGGTATGGTTGGTATTTGTCATGTGACACTGGTAACCCTATGACGGTGACAAATGTCATAATGCCTGTCAAGCTTGTTGCTAAGGGCGACTGATATTCAAAGCTTACCTTTCAGCGTGGTTAAACCCAACCCTTTCTTGGCCTGTTCAGAGGTTGATATTCAGCCCAAAGTCTGCAGCAAATGTCAGTAAATATTCCCAAATTACAAATTTCCCAATTCATGTCCCATAGTAATAATTCATGTTAATATTGCTATGGCACTGTACAGGTGACTTGTTTGTATATCATTGTCCAATTTGAGCAAAATAAAGATTATTTTCCCAAATTGCCTGCCAAGGGCACTTAGTTTCAAATCGTGGATAAGTTGGAATTTATGAAATTCCTGGTGTCCCCTGTTGGAAACAGGTGAGGGATAAGCCCTGAACACCTTGGTGCAGCACTACCACATTGATCATGTTAAATACATTCAGTGAAATCTCAGGCTCCGGAAGATTACTGTCATATACATCGGTATTTCATGACACTGACATTACTACTTGTCCACGTTTTGTGAGTTAGGAAACTTGTTTGATGTGAGAAGGATCAATGTGTTGGATAGCCCAGTGGTTAAAGCATTGGCTTGTCAGGAAGAAGGTCTGGGTTTAAATTACATGGTTCAGACAGGCTTGAAATGCCTTGAATTTTAAAGTTCCTTTTGAAAATCCTGGATTTTTAGTGTCAACCTTGAAAAATCTTGAAAATCCCTCAAATTGCTTGAAAAAGCCTTGAATTTGTAATGAATAACTTATTATTTATAAAAGTATTGTCATTCATGATAAACTTAGATTTTTTTTATTTATTGGTTGTGAAAATAGGTTTTGTTGGTAAATTAGTGATGTTCTTACATCTTTTTATGTCTTACGACTAATATATTGTATGTTGAATTTAAAAAATATTGACAGACTAACTGAACTAATAAAGCCTTGAATCCATTCATTGGTACAATGTGTGAAGCCCATTTCTGGTGTTGATAAAAGCAGTGTAATAACCTATTTACGTCACCTTATCTATCTGTTTTCTTGTGGGGCGGTGGGGAAGCCTAGTGGTTAAAACATTCACACGTCACGCCGAAGACCCCGGTTTGATTCCTGACATGGGTACAATGTGTGAGGCCCATATCTGATGTTCCCCGCTGTTATATTGCTGGAATATTGCAAAAAGCAGCTTAAAACCATACTCTCTCACTCACTCACTCTGTTTTCTTGTGCAGATATGGATGACGTGATCCACAGTCAGAAGCTGTGGGCTGTAGGGAGGTCGGATCCCGTTCGGCTGCGGATGTCGGAGAGAGGAGCCGGAGCAGCCAAGCCCATCACCGTCCCTTCACTGCTGCGTCAGGTAGCACAGAAAATACCCAACAACACAGCTCTAGGTGGGTTTCTGCGTGTCAGGAGATTCGGGGGCTTTATCCATTTATGTCAGTCTCTGTGAGAACCAGCTGAGATGCCGTATTCACTGATGCAGGGTTGGAACTTAACACTAGCCACTAGCCCATGTCTACTGCCAATTCATGAGAGCTAGTACAGATTTCTAAATTTCCCAATTGTTTCAACGTTTTATCTTTACCTGGGCTAGTAAAGCTTTTGATTTTGGTTAACCCTGCTAATCATTGTATTGCTTCTTTGACAGGCATTTAGAAGTTGGAGTACTAAGTAAGGATAAGAATTTATGGATGAACAACTTCTTTATTACAATTAAGAGCGACGTTTCGGTGTAGGTTCTAACAACGTTATCAAGCAATGATCATTTGCTTAACTTTGTTAGAACCTACACCGAAACGTCACTCTTAATTGTAATAAAGAAGTTGTTCATCCATAAATTCTTATCCTTACTTACCCGGTAATCATTGTATTGCTTAGTGATACGAGGCGCAATATTTGATGGGATGGGTTCTTAGACAGAAATAATCATTTCTATTGAGACTTTAGCACTTTGTTGGAAATTGGAAAATATGTGATGTTCATACTGCTTGTTCAGTCTTACAACTAATATAGTGTGCTGGATTTATCACAATATTGCAAAGCCTTGAAAAGGCCTTGAATTTTAGTGTTCCATATCTGTTTGAACCTTGATGTTCTTCTCACTGCGATGGGGTGGCAATGTTGTAAGAGGATTTCTATTGTTTTCACATGTATATTTTGTAAAGCATATTTCTGGTGTCCCCACCATGTATTGCTAGAATATTGCTACAAGTGGAGATCACGCATTCACTGACATGGAAGTCTTGTCCTGTCTTTCAGCTGTGAAACGCAATGGGGAGTGGGTGCAATGGACGTATAGACAGTATTATGCTGATATATGTCGCACGGCCAAGGCTTTTATCAAGGTCAGTTTATGCAACCATGAAACAACATGCATGAAGAAATATTTTATGAAAAATCTGTGTAAACCTTATAGATTGAATATTATTACTATGATTAAGAAAAACATGTGTTAACCTTATCTATAGCTGCAATATGTTTACGTGATTAGTCAGTGATGCAAGAATCATGTAATATGCACAAGAAAATCTAGTTTAAACCTTATAGCTTGAATATGTTTTTTATGTTTTAGCGGTGATGCAAGAATCTTTTGATAGTGTTTTTGTCATCTGCAATATATGTTGTTTTTGTTCTCAGCTTGGCTTGGAGCCCGGCAGTGGTGTGGGGATAATTGGCTTCAACTCTCCCGAATGGTTTTTGGCTGATCTCGGAGCTATATTTGCAGGGTAAGCGAACAGTGATAGATTGGCTATTTAATGAGCAAACCACAACAGGTTTGTGTATTGGCATACAAATTATATTGCGATATAGGCGTCTGTGTTGCGATATAATGGGAGCTAAAGTGTTTGACAGTGATTGAGACTGACTGTACATGCAGATCCTATTTTCTACCTACTACAGTAAATATTACAATGTCAAAGTCAGCATGGTCAGTCGCCACCGCCAGTTTGTGGTCATGGATACAGGGGAGGTAATATCATTAGAGAAAAATCACTTTCGGGTTGCCTCTGTTTTGTCAAATTCTAGGGGGAAACATCATTTGTGAAAGAATTTCTGTGTAGAATTTAGGTACAACTATACAAATAATATTGAAACTTGTTATATAGCTTTTGCTCAATATACCAGAGGGGGGCACGGGTGGCCCAGTCGTCTAAGGCGCCGTGATTCGCTGTGCAGAGTTGCGTCCCTTGGGCACGCCAGAAACCTATGATTGTGGGTTCGAATCCCGGTTCTGTTTCTAGGTTTGTCAGCACCATACCAACGCTCGTGGGTTTCACGGAAGTGATTCGTCTGAGACCTGCATCACTTCGGGCTTTTCTCCCACATTAAGCTGACACGCCGCGATATAACTGTAATACTGTTAAAAGCGGCGTTAAACACAACTCACTCACTCACTCACTCATTATACCAGAACACAGCAAAAAATTAAAATATGTATTGTTTGAAAAACGTATTGCAGTATATCTAACAAGGTGCTATATTTCAGTGGCCTGGCTACCGGAATCTACACAACCAACACGCCTGAGGCATGCGAGTTCGTAGCAAGTGATGCCAAGATTAACATCATCGTGGCCGAAAACAACCAGCAGTTGCAGAAATTCATCAAGGTCAAGGACAAACTACCTCATCTCAAGGCCATCATCCAGTACAGTGGAGAGATTGCCCACAGAGAGTCCTTTATGTATTCAGTAAGTTGATGTCAACATTATACTTGCGGTATTTGGACTTCTGGCTGGTGTTAACATGCAGCGCATTTTGAACATGATATATCCAGACTTTGACTACAGGAAACTATGTACTTTCAAGTTCCCAAGTTGCCAACCAATATGATTATTGCAGAATCATTTCGCTATTTTGATCGAAATTGAATTAATATGATTAAGCGAAAAATGTTCTGAATTTGCCCAAAATACGCTTAGTTATTGACTTCCCTACAGGCATTGTTACCTAAACAACCACTAGTGTCCCCTGACATGATGAGGCTGGAATGTTTAGCGCTAAAAGCAGCGGAAAACCATACTCACATAAACAACCAATTAATAGTCATTCTTTTAGCTTGTGATAAGTAGGTTTGCAGATTTTGGCAAGTTTTTTAATGATAAAGTTGTTTTTGAAAGATGATTTATTTTCATCCAAACCATACAGTCATGCATGCAAATAAAGATTACTAACTGTTAGCTGCTAAAATAGAAAATCTCTGTTGAGACGAGACTGAAATCTGTTGGGTTTTTTTTTTGCAAGAGAAGACCTTGATTGTTTCACAGATCATTATTTCCTGCACTGTAAATGAAATGTGAACCCATTCTTTAGTTCTATTATTCTAACTTCAAAATATTGTCTTTCAGTGGGAAGATTTCATGAAGATGGCAGACGATGTCCCGGACTCAGAGTTGGAAAACAGATTGAAGAATCTCGCCCCAAACAAATGTTGTACTCTTATATACACAGTGAGTGTTTGAGATAGTAGTATATTCTAATAGTATAGTCTCATATACACAGTGAGTGTTTGAGATAGTAGTATATTCCAAAAGTATAGTCTCATATACACAGTGAGTGTTTGAGATAGTAGTATATTCCAATAGTATAGTCTCATATACACCATGAGTGTTTGAGATAGTAGTATATTCCAATAGTATAGTCTCATATACACAGTGAGTGTTTGAGATAGTAGTATATTCCAATAGTATAGTCTTATATACACAGTGAGTGTTTGAGATAGTAGTATATTCTACCGTAATAGTATAGTCTTGTATACACAGTGTGTTCAGGATAGTTGTATATTCCAATAGTATAGTCTTATATTCACAGTGAGTGTTTCAGATAGTTGTATATTCCAATAGTATAGTTTCATATACACAGTGAGTGTTTGAGATAGTAGTATATTCAAATGGTATAGTTTAATATACACAGTGAGTGTTCATGATAGTAGTATATTCTAATGGTATAGTTTTATATACACAGTGAGTGTTCAGGATAGTAGTATATTCTAATAGTATAGTTTTATATACACAGTGAGTGTTCATGATAGTAGTGTATTCTCATGGTATAGTTTTATATACACAGTGAGTGTTCAGGATAGTGGTATATTCTAATGGTATAGTCTTATATTCACAGTGTGTGTTTGAGATAGTAATAAATTCTAATGGTATAGTCTTATATACACAGTATATTCGCTTATTTCTGTCACAAAGTAAATGCGACCCACACTGCTTGCACGCACGAACGCACGCACATAAATTACCAGTCCCAAGACAAACATTAAAAGACATAATTACTGTAGAATTTGTACAAATATTTATCTGACATGTTTTAAATGCAGATTTCCATTGTTTGTTGTTTGTTTTCAGTCTGGGACAACAGGGAACCCTAAGGGCGTCATGTTGAGTCATGATAATGTGAGTAGGGAGTTCGTCATGGATTGCATGATTTTTTGCTATTGTTAGAATGTATAATCCTGAAATTGTTTCCAATTTTTGTTATTATATGATGCCTATGGAAATTGAAATGACCAGCTAGTGTGATGTTTCAGCTCACATGGACGGCCAAAGCAACAGGTGATAGCAACAAGCTCAGGTTTGGAGAGGAGATTTCAGTCAGTTATCTCCCCTTGAGTCACGTGGCAGCTCAGGTGTTGGACATTTACCTGTCGATATCATTTGGAGGTTCTGTCCACTTCGCTCAGCCTGACGCTCTCAAGGTAGATCAATGGAAAAATTTCTTGTCTTACCACGCAACCAAAACACCATTTCCTCAAAAAAGTATCTAAATACCATGTATGACACCATTTTGTTATGTTGTGTTCAACAACATCTTTATTTGCTAAAAAATCACCACAAAATTAGGCAAATGGAAGCGACCTCCACCATATAGTTGTAGGCCAGCCATTTTGGAGAAGGGCCAGTAACTTTAAAAAGGAGCAAGCCCTGCTGGCTACATACAAATTTGTTGTCTACTCTTGCAATTCCGACGCACTAAGGGGACACAACTCCACACAGCAAAATGTGGCGATTTCGTTGACTGAACCATCTATATTTCCCTTGACATTAAGTTATTTGCTGGTGTATTCCAGGGAACACTAGCCCAGACACTGAAGGATGTCCGGCCCACGACTTTCTTTGGTGTCCCACGAGTCTGGGAGAAGATGATGGAGAAATTGATGTCCATTGGCAAACAGACCACTGGATTGAAGAAGAAAATCTCCACCTGGGCGAAGGGAGTCGGTCTGAAAGGAAACTACAATATTCAGAATGGGTAGGCATCTACATAAATTACTCTACTTTCTGGAGATGATACTGAAAACATTTCGAAAGGTTTAAGTTCAATAGATGTCAATCATCTAATTAATGTTTTTAGATTTATCAAACGATTATTACAGACAAGCTGTAACATTTTTGTCTTAGCAATGCAACTTTTACACCTCCAGTCTGTATCTTCAAATATGGTACAGGGGCGGTCGGGTAGCCTAGTGGTTAAAGCGTTCCCTCGTCACGCCGGAGACCCGGGTTCAATTCCCTACACGGGTACAATGTGTGAAACCCATTTCTGGTGTTCCCCCCGTGATATTGCTGGAATATTGCTAAAAGTGGCGTAAACCTCACTCACTCACTCAAATATGGTTCGAGATAGTAAATAAATCCTACGACCAAAAGTGAACATAATTTCAATGAATTAATTATGTTCTAAAATATTTTTTACCCAGTCATTCGAAGCGAGGAAAGACATGTAAACAACGGTAACTGATTGGTTGTCCACTTAGCTCAGTGACTGTTGTACAGGTGTAGTTGCATGTGTTCATGTGTTTGATGACATACTCCAGCATGTGCGGCAACTCATGTGTATAATCCAGGCCTGAACTGATACACTGATACTATGATATGATACGTAGCATGATACCTTGTTCAGTGATCAACACAAAAATGGTACACAATTTGAGTGAACTTTGCTTGAACGGGTTCAAACCTTTACAGGAATACAAGAGATAAAGTTTGTTAATGGAATCATGCTTTGAACATTTGTACATTATATTTTTAAACAACACCAATTTTGGAACTTCATTTACTAAATCAGTGTCCAAATTTAGCAGGAAAGTCACGGGGTCCTTGTCAAATCCCAAGTTAAAAATATGGGGCGCCCTCAATTCCTAATCATAGACTTCAAGGACCCCAGGAATCCCCTTAGTTTCGAACACTGCCAAGATATCAATCTGTACCATTCTCTAACACATCTGATGGGCAGATAATTATAACAATTCCTTACACGAAACATGGATACAGAATGAAGAGTATCGTGTACCATGGTACATCAGGGTATCAGTTCTGGCTTAGTATGTGTAGTGTATGCTGCTCAATAGAAGTTAAAGAAAACCTGATTCTTTTATACAGATTAACTATTGTAATATGAAAGAATCAAGTGTTCTTAATTTCTTTTGAGTGATATATTATTATTTGCATATTATGGTGTCAGCATCTGTTCAGTGTAAAATTGTGAATGCTCCTTTGCGTCAGATTATTTCTTTTGATTTGAATATGTTTATTGCTTGTTCTTTAGCTCCCAGTGGGTCACAGTATGTATTCAGAGATTTTTCTCAGATTCAAAACTAAGTGCCCTTGGAAAGACGTTTTTGGAGAAAATTGTAATTTCATTCAAAATTGGTTGAGAATTTTTTTTAAGTTTCTATTTTCCTAAACTGAAACGTATATTAACATTGAACTTTAACATTGCCTTCAATGCAATAAGGGGCGGTCGGGTAGCCTAGTGGTTAAAGCGTTCGCTCGTCACACCGAAGACCCTGGTTCGATTCCCAACATGGGTACAATGTGTGAAGCCCATTTCTTGTGCCCCCCGCTGTGATATTGCTGTAATATTGCAAAAAGTGGCTTTAAACCATACTCATTCATTTCAGTGCAATAATGTTAAACCAATCTTTAATGCCTCTTTCTCTGTAAGTCCTGTTGCCAGTGACATACAAGTCACCTCTAAAAGGCTTAACATTAGGTATAACTATAACAGCAGGAATTGGGAAATGGTTACCGGGTAATTCCAATTTGGGTATTTTCACTGAAATTGCTACAGACTTGGAGCCCTAATATCAGCAGGCCTAGATACATCCCTGCTATGATGCTGTATCAGAATAGGTTACCCATCTCCCTGTCCCCATGCTTGACAGACAGGGTTACATTCTGTCTTCAAGGGCATTTAACTCATCATACGACTGGGTTTAATGTGTGACCAGAGTCTCAATGTACAAATACATTTGGGGACGGGATGGATAGAAGCAAATTGCTTTATTGTCTATAGGGAAACTGAAGTTTTGAATCCTACTTCTGATAAACAAACTTAAGAAAAGTCGGTTTTGACTCCACATTTGTTGACAGTAGGCATTCCGCGTGTAACAAGAATCTATTACAGTATTTTCTAGACTATATTGTGACCCCAAGCATTATGCGCACCTGCAGAGAAAAACTAAGATTTTGTAAGTATTATATGCATTAAAAAATACATCAGATCTCTTCAGGTGAACAAACAAGTGATAACAATAGATTTTAAAATTTGCGATAAGACATAATTGGACATGATGATTTAAATTCTATTTCCTGTTCTGTACACGATTGTGTTCATTTAGTGTTGGTTGTATACACCTCCCAGACAGGTCTCAAGGTGGTGTCCGGTTCCTCTGAGGATGGGTTGGTGGGATGGTGAGGCAGCCCTGTGGTTAAAGTGGTTGCTCATTGATTTAAACACCAGGGTTTGGTTTCCCATAATGCTTTGGTTTCACACACACACACCCTCTCACATGGAAGGCCAAGGTCATCTGTGACAGACTGAATGCAGCCTCATACCCATACCTGCATGTACTGACTCTGTGACTACCTGCTCAGATCCACGTTTCCTGGTCCAGCTTGGACGTTAAACTTGGCATAAACCCCACCCGCCCCCTCGTTGTTCCCTCACTCATACTCGAATGTAACTCAAGATTTCTCTGATGTCTGTCAGTATGTCTGTCACATACATGTAACCAGCAGAGACTGAGGAAGATGCATTTTGCTGTGAGCCTTTGTTTCCTGTGTAGTATATGTATTATTTTATTATTTACAGGCTTCAGTTAAAGCTGGAATATTGCTGACTCTCATGTTGACTCACTCAGCTCACTTTAGTGAATAAAAAATGAATATTTTGTTGTTGTTTTCTAGCTGTGAGATTAATTTGGATGTTCCAAGTTACAATCTACAATCTTCAAAGAATCTTTATTACAGCAATAGAAACTAACTGTCCACTGGTCCTTATAACGATAACATATTGCAAGACCTGTAATAATGGCATATTTCTACTAGTCCTTATGATACCTTAACTATTTGGCAGTTTGGCAAGGACTACAGGACTAGTGCCAATTTCTGATGCTGAATTTATTGTGTTTTTTTCTCTGTATATATCATTACAATTTCCGACGAATATTCTGTAAAGAGGGTGATATTTGCTCACTTGTGTCATGTTTGGGCCTGTTTTAAGTTCCAGGCTGAAATGTTTCCACAGTAACCTATACTAATTGTTAGAATCAACTGAAAGGGTTTAGGTGGTCCGACTCACGAGTCGCACCTGACTGATTGTGATTCATCGTACTGATGGCATGGGTCATGCCAGTGCTTTCAGTCACGGGTTTGTCCGGTTTGGACTTCATTATTTCCAAGCTGCTATGATATACTGGGTAGCTGGAATATTGCTGACTGCAGTGCCTTGAATCATTTAACTCACTTCAATGAAGAAGAAAAAGGATATCTAAGCCTTTTCTGGCCAAGATAATATATTTTGGATGTTTGATATGATATTTAGGTCTTTGGATATCTTTATGCAGGGAGATGATGTATATAATTTGAATTTCAGTTCTGGATTGCCTTTTGGATGGGGTATTGCGAATGCTGTGGTATTCGCAAAAGTTCGCGCAGCTCTTGGATTTGATCGCTGCAGGTTTTTTATCTCTGGAGCGGCTCCCATCACCAGGGAGACCTTAGAGTACTTCCTCAGTCTCAACATTCCAATAGCGGAGGTGTACGGCATGAGTGAGTCCACAGGTGAGACTCCCACCCACAGGTATCATCCATTACTGATTTGGTGGAATCGTTACAATATTTTGAGAAAAAGATCACCAAGAAGATTAAGTGAAATATATTACAAAATTGTCAGAGCTATCACAAGTAATTTATAGGCAAAACTGACCTCTATAGTTCTCAAAAATAAATATTGCAAGTAATTTGTACAGACAATGACCTTGCTATTTCCTATAATTGTCAGGCATTGTCACGTATAAAACACGTTTGTGTTACCAGTAACATCAGAGGCACCGGTATCACAGTTGCTTCACCAATTTATGACTGTATGTGATAGTAGTTGTTGTTTATTCCTTTCCAGGTCCACACACCTTTGGCCGCAATGGGGCCGAAAACCGCATAATGAGTGTTGGTTTTGAGTATGGTGGCACTCAGACCAAGCTTGCAAACATCGACAGTGATGGCAATGGGGAGGTAGGCTTGCTGGAGTTATCTCCCATTCTTGTTCAAGTGACATACAAGTTATTTATGAAACAGTTACTTGTTACTTGTTTGCTCCATGGAGATTGGAATAACAGAGCCCCAGATTAGCTGCATATTTGCGCAAAATATGCAAAGTAATCACCATTACTCAATTAACTTTGAGTTGCTAACAAACACAGATGAAAATTTAATAAAACAAAAGCAATAGCATAACAACTGTGAGAATACCCAGTGTATCCCCTTCAACTTGTGTACTGATATTTCCCTACATGCATCACACAAGACCGCCTCCGTGGTCTAGTGGTAGAGCGTCTGCCCGGAGAGCGGAAGGTTACAGGTTTGATCCCCGGCCGCGTCATACCAAAAGACGTTAAAAGATGGTACTTGTTCTTACCCTGTCTGGCGCTCGGCATAAGGGGCTAAAACAAGGACTGGTCAGCTCGGAGTCAGTATACTGTGTCTGAGTGGGGTATTCATGTTAAACTGCGGCATTGTATCTCAGTGGGCTAGCACTATAAATCGGCATCAGTCCGGACTAGTACAAGCAGCCACACACATTTGCATGCACGTCGCTATATAAGTGCAATTATCTGGACGTGACGTTAAAGCCCATTTCACCTCACATGCATCACACATACATGAACTGTGCTGTGAATAATGTGTAAGAAAGGTGTTACTTCTCGCTTAGTGTTAAATAACTATGTATGTGTATGACGCGGTTGTGAGTTTGTGTGACATGTTGCACACTAGGGGCAGTACACAACTTATACAAATTAGAAGTCACTACATTTTAAGCCTGAATATTATTTTCTGGAGCCCAGGCATAAGTTCTGAGTATTTGATGCTTGTATGAACTGACTAGGAGGATTGGGTGGTCTTGCTTTTGGTCCTGCTCTCCACCAATGGTGTGCCTGTCTGGCCCAATGTGATTATGTACAAGCTACACATACGACCATGTGTGAGACATCATGAGAGCAATATACTGTAAATCTTGAAATGCGAGCATGAATTAAGTGCAAAAAATGCGAGTGGTCTTTGCTTGCATTATTTAACATCGCATTTATATCAACAATAAGACATTTTGGATAGGAGAAATACCAACTTAGACATACACTGAAAACAAACAACTATGCATTCCACATCACTGTTTATTGAGCAGCACTTGTAACAAGTATTTAAACAATGTCATTCAAACACTAACTACATCCTGCGAATTGTCACTGCTGGGGTCAAGACAAGAGTTCTACTCACTTATGTCATCACTGATCACACCTGCAAGTCCAGACAGACACCACCCACGCAACACGGTGTCTTTGTTCTTTGCGACTGCATCAAAGGCCGACACGAGCCCGCGCTTGTATTGTTTTAGCGGAAGTACTCTACTCAGCGGTAATAAGCGGTGCTATTTGTTGGATGATTGGATTAATGTAAGGTTGGGTTAAGGTGAGGATTCTCCTGTAAACCTGACAGAGGACATTTTGTTTAGATATAAATCCACTGATGCTTGAGAGGAGGGGGTGTCGCATTCATATTGAGTCGCATTTTTGGCTAGGGGCCAGCGGTCGCATTCTTTTAGAGACGCATTAATTTCCCGATTTACAGTACATGTCTCCCCTTTTGTATGTATTACTCACTGCATTAGAGTTGGAGTAGGAGTGATGCCTGTGAACAAGGATCGGTAAAGAAATCAGTACACACTTGAAGGATACATTGGGTAACTACAGTGTTGTTATATTCTTGATTCTTTTTATTTTAATAATATCTGTATGTGAGCAGCTCAAAATTATAGGCTTATGTAAGTCTTAGCGCTAAGGTGATCATACTTGAACATAGGCTGACTTGAGTCTCAGCGCTAAGGTCATCATACTTGAACATAGGCTTACAGGAGTCACAGCGCTAAGGTGATCATACTTGAACATAGGCTGACTTGAGTCTCAGCGCTAAGGTCATCATACTTGAACATAGGCTGACTTGAGTCTCAGCGCTAAGGTCATCATACTTGAACATAGGCTGACTTGAGTCTTAGCGCTAAGGTCATCATACTTGAACATAGGCTGACTTGAGTCTTAGCGCTAAGGTCATCTTACTTGAACATAGGCTTACAGGAGTCTTAGTGCTAAGGTCATCATACTTGAACATAGGCTGACTTGAGTCTTAGCGCTAAGGTGATCATACTTGAACATAGGCTGACTTGAGTCTTAGTGCTAAGGTCATCATACTTGAACATAGGCTGACTTGAGTCTTAGCGCTAAGGTCACTTTTTTAAACGGTGCTCAGGATGTTCCTGACTGCCACATCAGACTCCATCACTTTCAACAATGTAACGAAGCAGGGTATGTTTCATGAAGCTCTGCATGTTCCAACATAGTGCAATAATCTTGAATGCGACGTTAAACTCCACCTCACCTGGATAGTGGACACATTTGAATGTCTGCATCTGGTGTGTTCTCCTGCAAGTCCTAAAGCCTGCCATGATGTTTCCTCAGATCTGCATGTATGGCCGCCATGTGCTGATGGGCTACCTGGAGAACGAAGAGAAAACCAAGGAGACTATGGATGAAGAGGGCTGGCTACACAGCGGAGACATCGGGAAGAAGGATAAAGATGGCTTCCTCTTCATCACCGGGAGAATCAAAGGTACACATGCATGACATGTCTGATGAAGATTTTACCCAGAGTGTTGGAAATCTCTCAGCAAATGATGATCGATCATGTCTAAGACCCAGGCAAATGACTTATAGTTATCAAGCATGGTTCTTATTGCTTAGAACTTGTCTTCAGCAACCCTTGCTTGTCATGAGAGGCAACTAACGGGATCCGGTGGTCAGGGTCGCTGACTTGGTTGATACATGTCATCGTATTCCACTTGTGTGGATCGATGCTCATGATGTCAATCACTAGATTGCCTGGTCCAATTTTATTATTTACAGACCAGCATCATATAGCTGGAATATAACTGAGTGCAGAGTAAAACAAACAAACAAAATATATGTTCATATTAATAAAAATCTGACGGCAATCATCAGCTGTTGCATAATAATTGACCATAATCTATGCAATCATGACTGAGGAAACTGATACTGCATGAAGCCTGCAAGTCTCACCCTACAGTAGAGGCGGAAGTCCTGGAGTTGTCTTGTATTTTGGTTCAGCATTGTAGTGATGTACGTATTGTTCCAGAAATAATCATCACAGCAGGAGGCGAGAACATTGCACCTGTGCCCATCGAGGACGCGGTGAAGGAGTGTATCCCGGCCATTAGCAACTGTATGTTGATAGGAGACAAGAAAAAGTTCCTCGCTATGCTGATTACTCTCAAGGTGAAAGCACTCTACATGCACTCAGGGGAGGGTACTCCAGTCACTCAGTGATATACTTGGGAAGCATGGTCTTTGTTAGGAAGAATACTAGGCCTGGGACAAGCCCATACTTACTATTTGGGTACGCGACACCCTATCACCCTAACTTCCCGAAGGTACCCACTGTAGATGAAAGAGTTGGGTACAAAATGTCCGATTGGGTATCATTTTACCAGAGCTGTGGCCTAAAATTAGTTAGAAACATGTATAAACCAATGTGGTCGTGCATCTTAGTTGACTGAAGTTTTTTCTTTATTCAAACGTATAAATGTCAGAAGGAATGTGTGCATAGTCAGAAAGAAATGAGAACATTAGTGACTTGTAGTGTAGCCATGGAGGTGTAGTGAAAGTTTGTCATTAGGCGATATATCACGTGACTAACCATAGGTCCGGGTAGTCCTGTGTGCCCGGGTCCTAATCAGAGCCATCCTGAGTACCCGAGTTACCCGTCCCAGCCCTAAAGAATACCTGCACACAAGGTCGGATACTCCAGTTGCTTGGTGATAAACCCGGGAAGCATGGTCTTTGCTGGAAAGAATACCTGCACCCTGAGTGAGAAGGACCAAACTGTTGGATGAAGCAGTGATGATATGATAGGACGTAACATTTATCAATTGAGCAATCTCATTGAAATCAGATTGTACTTCTATACGATACCTCCTTGGTTAAGGTCTGAAGACACCTCCATAAAAGATCGCATCAGGTGAACCCCGAGCACACTTTCACTGCCCAATCTAAAAATGAAGGCTGCATGAGTTACTGAGCCAATCAGATGACAGCTCTCTAAAACAATTTGGCTTCATTTATTTACTCAGAAATTTCAATTTTAACAAAAGAAAACCCAGGCATGACACAAATATGCCTTCGATGGTACTTCCTTCCCCATGTAGACTCCATTGTGCTGAAAGACAGGGTGGCCCCAATGTAATGGGGCAGTCCTCATTATGTCCATACGGGTAAGGTCACTCAAGAACCCTACTAGAAAAGTTAACTTTCACCCCTCTCTCCACAGACGGAGGTTGACCCAGACACCCTGGAGCCTCTGAACCAACTGACCTCTCCAGCCATGGAGTGGTGTAGGGCGGAAGGGAGCACAGCAACCACTGTCAGTGACATCCTCGACCGACCGGACACGGCAGTCCTCAAGGCCATCCAGGCAGGCATCGACAAGGCCAACAGCAGGGCTGTTTCCAGAGCAGCCAAAATCCAGAAATGGTCCATCCTACCTAAAGACTTCTCGATACCCGGAGGAGAGTTAGGTAAGCATGAGTAGGTCAGGGTTATTACAGGATAGGCGACTGAATGGATTGGGTTGTCTGTCTCTGTGACTCTGTATTACGTGACTCTGTATTACGTGTCTGAGTTGGGTATCTATGTTAAGCTGCAGTATGGTATCTCAGTAGGATAGTACTATAAACACACAAACACACAAACACACACATATATAAGTGCAGTAATTGAACGTGACGTTAAACCCATTTCACCTCACCTCATGTACGAGGGACGTATTCCGAATCTCCATGGCAAGTGGATGCATTTATGACTGTGCGTCAGTGTAATCCTTCTAGCATAGGCCAACCAGGCAACGCACCATTATATAGAGATTGTAGGAATGAGTGAATTTGGTTTAACTCTGCTTATTAATAGTATTCCAGATATATCACGACGTGTTAGCGTAATGTGGGAGGAAAGCCCAAAGTGATGCAGTTCTCAGACATTTACCACTTCGGTGAAATCCATAAGCGTGGGAATGATGCTGACAAACCTAGAAACATTATCAGAGCAAACCGGTATTCGAACCCACAATCATAGGTTGCTGGAGTGCCTAAGGGATGCAACTCTACACAGAATTGCAGTGCCTTAGACAACTTGGCCACCGGTGCCAAGAGATTGGAGGAAACAATAAACATAGCATTGGTTTTATCATATGGCCTGGGCATATGTGTCTTTATGTGAAAGTTAATGCCATTTGCATACAAACCATTTCAACCAAATTACTCATACGGATGTGATTTTCTTTCTACAGGTCCGACCATGAAACTTCGCCGTCCAATTGTCGCAAAGATGTATCTAAAAACAATAGATGCTTTCTATGCAGAGAAATAATACCACTTCAAAACATCTGTCCTGTGCAATTGACTCCCACCAGAATGAACAAATAACAGTGCAAGTGATCAAGCCATGACACCATCATGTGTATAGGAGTACGTTAAGGCCATTTACACTCGGATCTTCAGCAACAGCAAGCATACTGTCCTACATAACAGCTGAAGAAGAAAAAATGCCTGACTAAGGTGCAGAAGTTCGGATGAGTAGAAGGAAGAGTGTTAATGATACTGTCACAGGGCATTGAAGACTGCAGACCATTCCACTCTCACGTGGAGCTGGCATTGTTAATCAGGATTAATTACCATAATTATCCACTCTTTCTTTTTAATACAGTCTCTAGAATCATCCACACTCACGCGTGTTCTGATGGAGAAGTAATTTGTCTACACGTAGCATGTGACATCTCTTAAGACAGCCAGCCTGAGTAAATGCAGTTTCATCACATCCTTACATATCACGTCCTAAACTCTACCATTTTGTTTATGCCCGATACCGTTTTTTGACATTTACAGACTTGAATGTTGTTTCACAAAATCAAATAAAAATCATACGCAAACTGATCTTGCACTATAAACGTTTTACGGATTAATATAAAAAAAACCTAGCTTCTAAAAATCAGACATGTTTACTACTCAAAACATGTTAAAGAACACCCACAATTGGAAGGCTGTGTGATGCAATACCCACCAGCCATGAGAGATTATCTATAGTCGCAGGAAAATAAATTGGGTGATCTTTAACTTCTTTTGAGTAGCATATATTAGATGTTAGAGCTTTCACTGTTGTGGACTACAGTGTATGAATGGTATGCTGGGGAACAGCTGTTCCGAATCCCATCATGCATCCCAACAAATCAGTGGATCACACATATCGCAGTCAGTCCATCGTTAGCAGACACTCCAAGCTTAAGCAGGATTCTAAAATGTGAACCTTGTTATTGTTTGAGGATTCCATTGTTTTGTTTTTGTTTGACTATTCAGTTGATGTTCGCTCATCATTTCTGTACGAGTGATAATCAAATGCAAAGGTTTTTGTATTGAGTGAATTGTCAAACTGTTTCGTTAGTGGTTGTACAAGACATTTCCAAACAAGGGCACAATTTGTTCATCGTTATAATGACCATAAATAGTTGTCCCGTTTCATTATGTTCAATATCAGCCCATTATTCCTGTCACGCTGAATTCTATAGATCTGCACTGTTAAACAAAGAAACATATCCAAGTATAGGCCTGTCATGTCAAGGTCAACTGTCTTGGCCAACATATAGTTTAATCAAACTATGAACTTTTATCATATTTAGTCATCAAAGTTTTAAGAAAACAACTAAAAACCTATTTACAAACAAATTTATGGAATAGATTATATTGATATCTCCCCAATATATTTTGTACAATGAAAATATGGAAATTAAAAATTATTCATGTATGAAAATACAGTTGTCAACAACACTCATTGTATTAAACATTTTCCTTGTATATGAAACACATTGTACGTGATGAGTTTGAAAGTCGTTGGGGACTGAATTATTTGTGCATAATATGTGCGTGGCTGAATTATTTTTAGATTGATTTTTTATTCTTTTTTGTACATTTGATTGAGTAAAATCAAAATCAGTTTATAAGGATTTATTTGGAGATTGACTGGGGTCTTTGTTGTTTAAATTTTAGTATGAATATGGTTTATATTTTGTTGCTTGTTGAATTACAATATACAGAGAAAGAAGCTACTGCTTTGCACAATACAATATTTTTGGTATTGTCCATTTCTGGTGTCGCTGTTGTGATATTGTGGGAATGTTGCTAAAAGAAGCGAAACCGAACTCACTCACTTGTGGTGTTGCAGTTTATTCTGCCAAATGTGATGATGGCAGAGAGGAAGGTATCACATCCTCACAGATAGACTCGCTAACAATTGATCAATCAATATTAAATTCAGCTAAATAAGAATGTTTCTCCAAATTATTGATATTTCATCAATAATTTGTTATTCTACGAAGAAGTGTGAACAGTTTGTGTTATTGATTGAAGGGGACACAATTTGTACTGCAATAATTTTTATCATCATTTGAATCTCAGGCAGTACTCTGGACTAATTATTATGATTGTTGCGATTTATGAGAATAGAATTATAAATATGAAGTGTTCACGAACATCATCCCATTGCATTCCAGTCTAGCTTCTCATCAGGAAGTAATATCTTGAATATTTTGTATGTGCATAATCTCATATTCTCAGTATATATATAATTTAGAGAATATGGTATAACTTTATTTACACAAAGCTCATTATTGACCACATTGTATAAACAGTAGGGATTAGTCTGATGATGTTTGAATTTTTGTTGTTGAATAATAAACTGCAGTATGACTAACGAGTATATTGTCTTTTGTTTGTGAGAACAGCTTAGTCGGCCTTGCATTGATTTGCCTTGATTGTTTACGAAAGCTATCTCCCTTTTCTTCCAAATATGTTTCAAATTACCGGTATTTTCCAGCAATTAGGTAACATGCTTTCAAAATTATGAATTTTGAAATCTCTTGGATCTTTTGCCATTGTTAGGTGCAACATTATTTTCTTCAATTTGTTTTTATTTTATTAAGCTAGGTCACATTATGTGGCCAACCTTTCATTCCTTTAAGAAGTATCTGGTACTATTGTACTAGTCCCAACAGGGATACCAGCCTGCAGCACTGGGGACCTCTTCTGACCTGGAATTGCCACCGGGAGACCAGCCTGCGGCACAGGGGACCTCTTCTAACCTGGAATTGCCACCGGGAGACCAGCCTGCGGCACAGGGGACCTCTTCTGACCTGGATTGCCACCGGGAGACCAGCCTGCGGCACTGGGGACCTCTTCTGACCTGGAATTGCCACCGGGAGACCAGCCTGCGGCACTGGGGACCTCTTCTGACCTGGAATTGCCACCGGGAGACCAGCCTGCGGCACAGGGGACCTCTTCTGACCTGGAATTGCCACCGGGAGACCAGCCTGCGGCACTGGGGACCTCTTCTGACCTGGAATTGCCACCGGGAGACCAGCCTGCGGCACAGGGGACCTCTTCTGACCTGGAATTGCCACCGGGAGACCAGCCTGCGGCACAGGGGACCTCTTCTGACCTGGAATTGCCACCGGGAGAAAAACATGGGGCACTGGAGACCCTCTTGGCAAATTAAACGTTATACGCACCAACAAAAGAAACGCAAAATGAAAGAAATCAGAATTGAACACAAAGTAATTTGGTTGTCCATTGTTACAGTCACTAAGATGCAGCTAAGGCAAATTGAAGATCACAAATGTGCAGTTTTGCCAAACTATCCATATGCAGGGTTTTCGTTGACCTGTCCTTTTTATCTGGCCAACTGCACAGCTGCCAACACATACAGTAGATCATGTGACACAATAGACCAGGACATCTACATCAAGGTGCGTTACCCTTGGCGAGGGACCACGACAGCCTCTACAGCATCTGCCATACAAGGTTTGTGAAAGATATCGGCCAAGATGGTGAGGCAGGACCAAGCTGGTTCACGTTCAGGCAATTCAGCTGCACAAGGGCTCTGAGATGGAATTCTGCAGCCACACACCACTCCTGTTATGATAACTGATAATGTCAGACGTGCAGGTCAGATTTTAACCCCATCTAGCATACATAGGTGTTGGATAGACGGGCGTGACAATGTCAACCACATCCAGAGACTGGCACTGGCACTGGCACTACAGGAGAAGTCGGGTAGTTCTTGACTCCCAAGGTGGACTCTCACCTACTAACTGTATATACCCGAAATTTTGATATCAGTGTCAACTGTGGTGGTGCGTGTCACACATGAACATTCAACTGCTTTCCGTGGATCATTTAAGTCAATCCATCAAATGTCATTAAAAAAGTACATTTGTGTGTATCTTTCTGGGGGAGTTTATTAATATCACAATCGCATTGGATATTGTCATGATTTTACATATTTTGATTTGGATTTATAAGTCTTTAAATGCTTTTGACTATTTATTTGTGTAATATTTCAATAAACCTGAATAACAAAATAATGAGTGAGTGAGTGAGTTGGGTTCAACGCCACTTTTAACTGTATTCCAGTTATATCAAGGCGTATCACCTTAATGTGGGAGAAAAGCCCGAGGTGATGCAGGTCTAAGATGTTTACCACTTCGGAGAAACCAATCAGCACGGTTTTGGTGCTGACAATCCTAGAAACACTATCGGGGTGAACTGGGATTCGAACCCATAAACAAGCAAAATAATGATCATTGTAACAGTACATTATCTTCACATCCATTCTGTTTTGGCGTCTAATAAACAAATGCATGAATTATTTATATATAAAAGTTACTCAATTGAAAGTGATAGTAAGTACACGGTCTTGGATAATTTAGACTTATTAAAGTTTTTTTTTACAAAATGTAAAAAGTATGTTCCATTGCCGGGAATCGAACCCGGGCCGCCTGGGTGAAAGCCAGGAATCCTAACCACTAGACCACAATGGAAGCTGATATAAGTGAGGCAAATCAATGATCATAAATTAAAATGCATTCTTTTGTTTCCGTATACACACGATGTTGTTGGTAAACTTTGAGAAAACATATCAAATAACTAATGACCTCCATCTCGATTACTGTAACTAGAAATTAATGTAAACTACCTATTTAGACCTTATAGCCAATAGTCCGTTATCTCACCTGGTCACTCACTTCGGTAGGCCGATATCGTAAATGTTCAAACTTCAGTATGTTTTACTGTTAGTAGTCCGTAATTACTAGCAAAGCCCTTGAACACTCAGTATGTGTATTTTGTGTTAGGGTCCGGGCATCATGTATTTATTCAAAACGTTTTCGATCAAATCATAAAATAGCGCACCTTTTATGAAAGGGAGTTAACTCTTTCAACATAATCTAACCGAGTTAGTTCAAACCTCGACCAACACAAAGTAAGATCGAGCCTCGTGAACAGAAACGTTTATTTTATTCCATATCGTTTCAACAGGAACATTCATATGCCGTTTACAACAGATCAACTGTATAAGTGAATTTTGTAAAAAATGGGGACTGTCTCTCAATATGAACAAATCAAAGATAATCATTTTTAGAAATGGTGGACGTTTAAGGAACTATGAAAATTTGACTTACAGAGAAGAAAAAATAGAGACTGTTTCATCTTATAAATATTTGGGACTATTTTTCACTCCTAAATTGCTATGGACAAAAGCAACGGCAACACTTGCACAATAAGCAGAAAAAGTATGTCATTATATCTATAAAATAAACTATCTATGTGGAGGATTACCAATCACTACTGCAATCAAGATGTTCGAATCCATGGTTTTACCAATATTAACATATGGCTCTGAAGTTTGGGGGTTTCCAATACCTACGAAACTATAGAGATGGTACAGACTAAATATTACAAACGGATTCTTAACCTACCAAATAATGCAAGCAATGACGCTGTTCTTGGTGAAACTGGAAGACAACGATTATATGTGTATTATATTAGTAAATGTATTAAATACTGGACAACATTAATCTCTATGAACACTGATCGTCTACCGAAGCAAACGTATTTAATGATGTACAAATTAGATGAAGCTGGCCGTATATCCTGGGCAACATATATAAAAGAAACCATTCTTTTCAAGTATGGATTTGGCTATGCCTGGATAATTCAAGATGTTGGAGATCCGCAAATATTAATTTTACAATTCAAACAACATATCGTGGAGTGTGGTCAACAACTTTGGATTGAAAACCTATCTCAAAAATCAAAACTTGAAACATATTTAACTTTCAAATCGGTATTAACAATAGAAATGTACCTTCAGGAAGTAAACAAGAAGATCTATAAAGAAACCCTAACAAGATTCCGATGCAGCTGCCATAAACTTATGATCGAAACTGGACGTCATACCAATAAAGAAAAAAACAAAAGATTTTGCCCACAATGTCAAAAATTGGACTTCAACTACGTTGAAAACGAATATCATTTCCTTCTTATTTGTACTTCATATTCAACATAACGTTTACATTTTATTGATACATATTTTCACACTTATCCATCCTATGAAAAATTTGTAAATCTTATGTCTTCTTAATGTAAATACACTATTACACAACTTGCTAAATATATCTACCACGCTTTTAGATTACGCGAGTCACTCATAATTCGCTGATGTATTATTTATGTATTATATTCTTTTCATGTATTTATGCATACACTTTATTGAGATCATGTATGTTCTATGGGCCTATGGCCTGAAACTTGGAGGAAATAAACTCTATACATATCCTGTTTATTATTTTGTAATCGGTTTTTAAATGTGGACAGGAAATTGTTATTTTCAAAGGTTTGTATGCCCAGTCAATATTCTGTTGAGATGAAGGAAATAATATGTGACCAAGAATTTCTTTAAAATTTAATGAAAATGTTATAATGAATTTAGATGGATACCATCAAATTTAAATCCAAAACAAAATGCAAACTAGTTACTCCTAATGTCCATATACCAGACAAGTCCAGAATGTTTAGTTACTAAAGTAACAATGATATTTATTTACTTTATATTTGAGCAGCACTTGTGAACATCTGGGTTAGAATTGGTCTTCCACAACCCATGCTTGTGGTAAGAGGCAACTAACAGGATCAGGCGGTTGCAGACTGTCTCCTGACTGCCGTCATATATACTGAACCACAAAAGAAACAAAACCCCAAGTAACATTGCATGAGAAGTGGTCATGTGTTATTTTTGTCAAAGTTTCTATAATCTGACATTACCTTGTCCGGAAAAATGAAATTTGATGACAATGGCAATAAAACCGATCGCCCAAACGCATCACGGCAACAGCCATGGTAACCCGATGCACGTGAGTTCCGTGCAAATTGAAATGCACATGCGTTCCCCCATTTCTTGACCTATAAAAATCCACCCACATTCGTTATTAAATTGCTACCACATGCCAAGATTGACTAGAAATCGGCGACACCAAGCCCTTGGACGATTGCAAGCTGGACAAACCGCCCGACAAGTAGCCAATGCAATTTAAGTCCACGTAAGGACCATATACAGGCTCCAGCAACGGTACCAGACCATCAACACTACAGATGACCGACCACATAGTGGAAGACTAAGGGTCACCACCCGACGTCTGGATCGTCAAGACCTTCAAGATCGCTTTGTTACTGCTGTGGAAACTGCTCGACAGACCCTGGGGACACACCAGCGACACATTAGTGCGGACACCGTGCGTTGACGATTGACGAGCAGACACATCCACTGTCACAGGCCACACCGAGGACCCATTCCGACACAACGTCATCGCCGGGACCGTCTTCAGTGGGCAACACAGCACCAGCGTTGGCGCCACCAGC